AATGTACAAGTTATGCCATTTAGTTCGCCTCCAGTAGCACGTGATATGTGTATATCGCAACAAGCAAAGCGTGCATCGAGGAAAACTGATTCAGGATAATACTAATAGCCCTCTTTGAGCACGTAGTGGACATAACGATCGAATGCTGGACCAATTGCTTTTTTCCAGAAGGTTATTATTTTTTTTCTCAATGTGATGTGGCGCTACGTGGGCATATATTTGAGCATAGCTCTCTTGCTTCATTGATAAACTCACGGAAATTACAATTTGTTTTCAGTTAGTAGCGTAAGTTGCAATCTAGAACAGATTAGATTTACTCTTGAATTACGGGTAAATTCAGGTAACTCTTCTGTAACTTTTTGATAACATATGTAATATAAAATTCATTACGATTTCTTTATAAATGGAATATTACGAAAACTGAAATTACGCGATGTTATTGTTTATTTCATACTGAACGTCACGCAACACCGTAAATCCGATTAGGATTTGAAATTGCGTCACGACATGAATACGCGCAAGTTTCTAAATATTCGATTGCGGATAATTCTCATGTATATAAGATACGCGATGGAACTATATCAGTTAAATTAAGTCTCGATTGTATGGAAGTAAGAACTCAATTATAAAACCGGTTTGAAAACTTGGTTCAGTACAGGTTGCTGAATTTTAAACCAGATAGTGTCGAAGAGAGGGTTAATTGATGATTCCAGAAGTGAAAACAAACAAGAATATCGGTTAATTGGACGTTATCATATGACAGGACACATTTAAAACAAGAGAGCTATGCTCAAATATATGGACACGTAGAATCATATCATTTTGATGGCGTCATAGCGAAAAAAAAAGTAATACCCTTCTGGAGCAAAATTTTATCTTCAACTACTGAAAATTTTAAAGCAGTTGGTACAGTATTCGAAGAGAAAAACAATTTTTTAATAATGACGAAGACAAATAACAACAATCACAACAAAATTTTGAAACGATCGTTATGTCCACTACGTGTCCAATAACCATAAAATCTTTATTTCAGTTCGCATTTGGTTAACGAGAGTAGCGATCACGAATTTATTTAACAAATGCTTCACGCGTCTATATGCCTATTTGAAATACTATGCCGTTCCTAAAAAGGTCTTTAACCTTTATAATCCGGCAGAATCGGTCCTTAACATTGTTTTGGGACATTAAGTTTTTTTATTGTTTAGATATAATGTCGATGACATAAATAACGATACCCAGGTGGGTGTGGAGTATATAATGTTGAACAATTTTTTTTAAGTGGATTTTGAGTAGTTGTACCAAGATGACGCACATCCTGAACCCTAGCCTGGTAAACATACAAAGTTCAGGTTGTGCGCCATCTTGGTCGAATTCTTCAAGAGCACCTTTTTGTTAAAAACAATTATTTCATAATTACGTAGCATGGCCGAAATTCAATTTTAGCAGAATAAATGGTAGTTTATTTCACTAATACAAGCCAAGATCCATCGACAGCATCTAGCCACTTTCTTTTGCGCTCTTCAAGCTACATTTGCGTTGCCGCGAGCATTTCGTTTTCCTACTTTAATCTTAGGGAATTGGGAAATATTTTATTAGTTGAATTGAATTGAAATATTTGACCTCGCTGCAAACAAGGCCATGTAAAACCATCCACTGGTATCTAACGATGTGTGAAGTGTTTTCTTCTGGAATAACCGGAACCTTTCAGGTGCAGCATTGACTTTGGCAGGATTAATATATCTTTGTGGAGACAGAAGGTATACGTATGCCAGGGGTCGGCAACCTACGGCCCACGAGTCTTCGCTGAATTTAGTGACGATTATAGTCTTTACGTAACAGAATTTATTGTGAGACACGTGTATAGACAAAATTATATTATACCCTAACAAGTATATAATTTACAATTACTCGTTTAATGAGCCTATAAGTAGACAAATGGCAACCAAACACAGAAAAGTTGGTGCTAACTGCAAATGGTTTAATAGCGCAGAAAATATTTAAATGTTCAATCTTCGCGCGCATCTTAAAATTTAACTTCTGGCCTGTATGAAAAATGTGATTCGTCGGCCATCCGTTCGGTTTCTAACTTTCTAAGAATGTGCGCGGCCCGCCAATGACTTGCAAACTTTCATTTTGGTCAGCAAGTGACAAAATGTTGCCGACCCCTGACGTATGCAAAACCGAGATGTGCACCTGTTATGCCAACTTAGTTGAGTCAAACATTTCGAACACTAGAACATCACACACATTTTGCTGCGTGCTTCGGTTGTAGGTAAAAACACGCACATTTTTGCGCACTTGCATTAAATTCCACTTGTTTATTGAGCTATAGGTTTTTGACGAGCTTCAATTATAAAACAAAACTTGATTCGAAATAGGTTGTTCAATTTTGAAAACTAGGTTTAGTATAGGTTGCTGAATTTTTAAACCAGATAGTGTCGAAGAGAGGGTCATTTCTATGTAATAAGATTCTATCCATAAAATGTACCTTGTTTTATTATCCCCGAAATACATTTATATTAATACATTGTCATTATTTAGGGCATTGGAGCTAAGGGTACATCTTTATTATCCAAGGAGATAATAGCGTTGAGACCTTCGTTTATCATTTGATAAAAGACACGTCAGCGATGATAAAACAAAGAGATGTAAAACAGAACAAATGGTAGTCTCGAGAAAGGGCAAAAATTCGTTGATACCCATTTTTCACAATACAAACAAAGAAAAGAAACCGCTAAAAATAAAATGAGAATATCGGTCGGAGACCGAACACTTATCGATCGAGCGATAATTAATTAATTAATAACTCGCTAATTATACGACATAATTAACCCAAAATCTATAGCTTCTGGTCCGAGATATGATGCATGCATGTGCAAAATTTAGAGCAGATTCTAACAGACATACAGGACAAATACATATCATATACTTACCGATCTTAAGATCGAAAAGTAACAACTGATAATAATCATTCAGGTAGATTTGAAGTGCAAATTTCAAATCATTCTGACTGGATAATTTACTAATTTGATATTCAAAAGATGACAGAGATGTTTCTTTTCTTAAAGTATCACATTTTTTTGCATTATTGGCGGGGGCCTTGTACACAAAGATACCAGTTTAAATATTTCATCACTCGTTCTGGATAGAAGTTAGCTCCAGAAGATGGCACCAAGAAGACGCACAACTTGAACATAGTATGTGTACCGGGTTAAGGTTCAGGTTGTGTGACATCTTGGTGCACATACTATGGTGCGCGAATTTCATAATAATATTAATCATACTACAGCGAATCATAATTCCTTCCCAAAATGAGCAAAATTTCTTCCCTGGTTGGGAAATGTTGACTCAATGATAAAAACTATCATTACTACATGAAGCACAAAAAACGAGTAATTATGCGACTCCAAAAATTGAGGAAAAAATGGGGAATAAAAAAGGGGTAAATGCTTAGGGCTTGGAAATCAGGGGAAACACTTTAACCGAATGTTTATTTGAGACGACCATAAGAGGTACATGACAGCATCACTAATCGAACCCACCGGATAACTATGGGAATTCCCGATGACAGCCACTGAAGTTGTGTAAATTGATTGAGGTATACTAGTTTCTATGGTCATGTGTCATCAAATCGATCAGGGAGGCAGTGCAGGGCTTTGGCATTAATATACCACATGATGAAAATGATAATGAAAATAAGACAGGGTAATAATATAATTTCTAATTGCCATGAATAGAATAACCAGATCTCATTTCACATCATTTACAATTAATAAAGTCTCTCACATATGAAATGCTGTTTTACAACGTAACTGCCCTTTTCCGTATTGATCACATGTATGATTACTCATAACCAAGAATAGATAATTATCTTTAATTGTATAATTGTGATGAAATGCTTTACATATTGTTTATAAATCTAAGATTTCTCTTCCGTATGACTTGGCTCGTGTACATAAAACTGCACAATTACACGAAAACATCTGCGAAATGCTAAAAAACCTACATGCATTGATTTCAAGTATGCGCAATGAGTTTGTTCATGTCTATATAAACGAGATAATTGCAAAAAACTTTCCCACATTAGTTACAAACATGAGGTTTTCTCCAGTTCATACATGCAGAGCGGATGATAGTCCCGCTTTTTTATGCACCTGTGAATAATGAGACTTTGAAAACTTTATTGCATCATTCACAAGAATACTGTTTCTCTTCACTATGACTTCGCTTATGTGCACGAGAACTGGATAAATGCAAAACACTTTTTGGAAAAGACTAACATTTGTGCGAACGTCCGTGTCGTGTTGTAAATATATTACATTCCGATATGATTTAGTTCATTGAACAATTGAAAAACTCTTTCCACATCGTTTACGAACCTGTTTCTCTCTGGTATGAGTTTGTTCCTGCATTTTTAAACTACCGGTAAATGATTGTGAAAAACCGTTTACAAAAATAACGTTTCTTCTCATTATGAGTTTGTTCATGCACATGTAAAGTAGATAATTGTGAAAAACACTTTCCACATTTATTACAAATAAAAGGCTTGTATGACTTCGCTCATGCCTACGTAAATGGGATAATTGTGAAAAATCCTTTCCACATTGTTTACAAACATGAGGTTTCTCTTTAGTATGTGTCCGTTCATGCATTTGTAAATTAAATAACTGCAAAAACTGCTTCCACAATGTTCACAAACATGAGGTTTCTCTCCGGTATGACTTCGCTCATGCCTACGTAAATGGGATATACACGAGAAACTCTTTCCACATTGTTTACAAACATGAGGTTTCTCTCCGATATGAATTCGCCCATGCATTTGTAAACTGAATATTTGTGAAAAACCCTTCATTGTTTACAAACATAAGGTTTCTCTCAGGTATGAGTTCGTTCATGCCTTTTTAAATCAGATAATTGTGAAAAACCCTTTTCACATCGTTTACAAAACATGGGGTTTCTCTCCGCTATGAGTTCGTTCATGCCTATGTAAATTGGATAATTGTGAAAAACCCTTCCCGCATTGTTTACAAACATAAGGTTTCTCTCCGGTATGAGCTCGTTCATGACTTTTTAAATCAGATAGTCGTAAAAAACCCTCTCCACATCATTTACAAACATAGGGTTTCTCTTTAGTATGGGTTCGCTCATGCACATGTAAACTGGATAATTGTGAAAAACGCTTCCCAAATTGTTTACAAACGTAAGGTTTCTTTTTAGTATGGGTTCGTTCATGCATTTGTAAATTAAATAACTGCAAAAAACTCTTTCCACATTGTTCACAAACATGAGGTTTCTCTCCGGTATGACTTCGTTCATGCCTATGTAAATTAGATGATTGTGAAAAACTTCTTCCACATTGTTTACAAATACAAGGCCTGTCACCTGTATGAGTTCGCTCATGCATACGTAAACTAAATAATTGTGAAAAATTTTTCCACATTGTTTACAAACATAAAGTTTCTTATCAGTATGAATTCGTTCATGCCTATGTAAATTGGATAATTGTGAAAAACCTTTCCCACATTGTTTACAAACATAAGGTTTCTCTCCGGTATGAGTTCGTTCATGACTTATAAATCAGATAGTCGTAAAAAACCCTTTCCACATCGTTTACAAACATATGGTTTCTCTTTAGTATGGGTTCGCTCATGCACATGTAAACTGGATAATTGTGAAAAACGCTTCCCAAATTGTTTACAAACATAAGGTTTCTCTTTAGTATGGGTTCGTTCATGCATTTGTAAATTAAATAACTGCAAAAAACTCTTTCTTCGTTCATGCCTATGTAAATTAGATGATTGTGAAAAACTTCTTCCACATTGTTTACAAATACAAGGCCTGTCACCTGTATGAGTTCGCTCATGCAACGTAAATTGGATATACACGAGAAACTCTTTTCACATTGTTCACAAACATGAGGTTTCTCTTTAGCATGAGTTCGTTCATGCAACCGTAAACTAAATAATTGTGAAAAACTCTTTCCACATTGTTTACAACCATAAGGTTTCTCTCCGGTATGAGTTTGTTCATGCCTTTTCAAACTGGATAATCGTGAAAAACCCTTTCCATATTGTTTACAAACATAAGGTTTCTCTTTAGTATGGGTTCGTTCATGCATTTGTAAATTAAATAACTGCAGAAAACTCTTTCCACAATGTTCACAAACATGAGGTTTCTCTCCAGTATGACTTCGTTCATGCCTATGTAAATTATCTAATCGTGAAAACTTTTCCACATTGTTCACAAACATGAGATTTCTCTCCATTTTGCAAACACTGGCCATTGTCATATAATAAATGCAAAAATCAGCTAAATACCGTAAAACCGGCTAACTTCGGATGCCTTGTAACTTCGGATGAAATTTATTTTCAATCGTTTATATCTCGACTAAATTATGTCATATTGTGCTTCTGGCAGTTTCTACAGTGAGTCCTTATATATTTAAATCTGTTATCATATTCAATTGCGCAATCCGTTTTCAAGCGTTGCGACTTCTACTGATGCTAACTTCCTTAAACTACCGTCATTCGATAGAGGACGATAACAATGTAAATAGAAAATTAGACTGATAGCGAGATATCGCAGGAGACTCGTGAAAGAATTGATATTCGAATAATTTTCATTTATTAAAATAATAGCATCTGACGCACACGTTGAACTTGACGTCGCTCACTTCGAAGACGACGTCATGTTGCGTCGCCGTTATAGATTTGACTCCAGACATTCGGGCGCCGACGAGTTGCCATGGATTTGAAAATAGCAACGATATTCTGTTTGGTTGGATCAATATTGGCTAACATATACATCAACAGTTTTTTGTGAATCATAAATTCATGACATTAAATGTTGGAAATGTAATTTAATTAACCATTTCCGTGCGGTGGGCACGTATACGTACCCACGACAAAACTCGCTAGATTGCGGCGGGTACGTTGATGTACTCCACTGTTTTATTTAGCAATCGGTCGCAAACTGTTGGTCTAGTTTTTCCGGGTTTTAGTTTATTGATAAGAAGTCTTCTTCGAGATTAACATAAGCGACGGTAAATCTCGCTTTCATTTACCATGGAAATTTTATTTGCGGGGGAACGAGGGAGTGTTTTTGAAATTTATGCAAATTTCGGTGTTTTTTGGGTGGTAATAGAAGACATATTATCCCTTCCATCTACCAAAGTATTTTGAGTTAGATAACGAAATTGCTACAGCAATATTATGCTATTGTTTGCCAACCAAGAAGCGGTAACAGTAAAGGATTTATTTCTATTTTTTATCACGGTTTGAAGTTTCAACACCCAAAAAAAAAATGCCTTTTTTCTATCCGGTTTGTGACTCAGACCACCCTTTTTGAAAAAAAAAATTTTTTTAATCGCCAATTGCAAGCTCTTTAAATGAGCTTTCCAACGAGCCATCAGTGGGCAGCAGAGGATCATTACTTTTTCGTTAGTCGATCGATTAGTTGTGTGGGTACAAATGCATAAAGATGGCGTAGCAAATACGATTATTTAATAAAAAATAAAAATCGCATGGAAAGGGTTAAATTCCTTGAAAATGACAATTAACTAAAAGCATTTTCGCTCGATTTGACTATTTCAAATTCCTCCATTTGGAACGGCAACATGGTTCGAAATAGAAAAATAGTGAGCGGTCGGGGAATACTGTGTAATTATAAAATATATAACCAGGGATGAATTGTCGTAAATGAGTTCGGTGTTGTGAATCTAACATTAAATCAAGGTTGCCTATTGCCAAATCAGTGTTTTGTCGTGATTTATACGCGACCAACATTTAAATAGGTCATTTTAATAAAGAAACCGTCATATGAATGATGGAAATATTGCGTAATTATAAAATATTTAAATGAGTTCGGTTTTGTGAATTTAACAAAAGTCATTTAAGTCAAAGTTGCCTATTGCCAAATCGGTGTTTTTTCGTGATTTATACGCGACCAACATTTAAATAGGTCAACCGTCATATGAATGCTGAAAAACGTTTATCGTGCGACTATTTACGACGTGAAGTTTGACAGACGATATCAAAACATCGGCTATAACAAAATCAACTTTGATCGGTGAATATTCGGATTTAATTACGATAATAGAAAAAAAAATAAAGACGTTTAAGATTGAAAACAACTTGAAAGTGAAAATTAAATGCAAAAATTAAATGCATGTACAGAGACACGTACATCAATGTAATATATTTCAAGTTTGACGCGAATCGGACAAAAATGGCTGAGTAATTGATTAGAGTATTATGAAATCATCCGAAGTTAGCCGGTTTTACGGTACCAATGACCACTGTGAAGCTAGGAGCACGCCTTCTTCTAATTTTACGCAGTAATGCGTTGAATCTCTCTTTTGTACTTGTCGGAGATCGGTGGTGCGTAATGCGGGCGAGTCTTCATTTCCACACGGAGAAATGACTTTGGTTTATAAATAAATAAGTAATTCAACACTATAATAAGTAAATTTAAGTGTATTTCACAGTAAATTAAGAATATGAATTTATCGTCTGAGTGTAGTAGGGACTTTCGCTATTTTAAGCCAACTAAATACTATTAATGTACACATATTGCTAGGTCTGAAATTTTGCATTTTATGAGGTAATAAAAAGACATCCTCGTATCTTAAATTCGTGCGAAAAAATCAACCAAATGACATTTGTTATTCTCTGTGTTTTCAATAACGTGTGCAGGGGCGTAACCGAAATTTTTTAAGGGGCCTGAAATTTTATTTGTTAGATGGAAATAGCTAGTAGGGGTTCGCGAACCCCCAGGGGTTCACAAGAAGATTTCAAGGGGTACTTGGATGATAGTCGAGTTTTTGTATGATGCTGTTTTTTAATATCCTTTATTACTATCATGGGAAAATGCGTGCCCATTGAAACTAAACGCCAATTGAAACGTAGATTTTCCCTGAGCTTGCGTTGTCGTGATTTTGACGCAACAATGTGAAAATTCAAGGCTTTGTGTACAAACTGTGAAATCTCTAAAGACAGCGTGCTGCGAGCAATGGAGAAGTGATTATGCTTATTGTAATCTGGGAGATATTTTAATAATTCATTAGTTACGCATGCGACAAGGGCAATAATATCAACAAGACGATTTGATTTAGTTACATATGGTCATTAAATTGGTGTTGCAACAGATTGCTAGTCAATGTATCACAACTGTCTTCGGTGTCTGATTACCGGGGGTTCGCGTTGATTGATTCGTGACTTGCGGGGTACTTGTCAGAAAAAAGGTTTGAGAACCCCTGAGCTAGCTGATCCGACCGAAAGCCGGAAAAGGAGTGTTTTCATGAGTCTTGGATGTTTAAAAACAGTTTCAAGCTACGAAAAATTGCTATGCAGATACAGAAAGATGTATTTTTACCTTCCAAAACAGGAGAGGGCGGGGGGCAGCATTTGGGTAATTTGAAAAAAACAAACATTTTGCTTTTATGTGTATTCTGTTCCTGAAAATGCCCTATATCACCGAAATCGACACAGGCGAAAAAAAAACGCAAAATTTCACAACTTTCAGGCTGCAGTAGAATATCTATCCGATTAAAAATGGAGAGATATTATTATTGATAATTATTTTAGTATATAGACTCTTCATACCACAAGTTGAGTTGTTGGAAACAAAATTTTGCAATTATGTGCATTCCGGTACTCAAAATTCCTCAATTCGTAGAAATCTTCATATGCAAAACAACGTAAATTTTCACATTTTTCAAACTACAACAGCAAATCTCTCCGATTAGGAGGGGTGAGATTTTATTATTGAAAAATATGATAAAATATACACTCTTCATCCCACAAGTTGAGTTATTGGGAACAAAATTTTGCATTTATGTGCATTCCGTTACTGAAAATGCCCTATTTCGCCAAAATCGACATATGCCAAAAAACGCCAATATTCACATTTTTCGAATTACAACTGCAAGTCTTTCCGATAAAGAGGGGCGAGATTTTATTATTGAAAAATATAATAAGATATACACTCTTCATTCAACAAGTTGAGTTGTTGGGAACAAAATTTTGCAAGTACGTGCATTCCGTTACTGAAAATGCCCTATTTCGTCGAAATTTGCATAGGCGAAATAACGTGAAATTTCACATTTTCCAAATTACAACAGCAAGTCTTTCCGATAAAGAGGGGCGAGATTTTATTATTGAAAAATATAATAAGATATACACTCTTCATCCCACAAGTTGGGTTGTTGGGAACAAAATTTTGCAATTATGTGCATTCCGTTACTGAAAATTCCCTATTTCGCCAAAATCGACATATGCCAAAAAACGCCAATATTCAAATTTTTCAAAGTACAACAGCAAGTCTTTCCGATTAAGAGGGGCGAGATTTTATTATTGATAATTATTTTAGTATATACACTCTTCATTCCACAAGTTGGGTTGTTGGGAACAAAATTTTGCAATTATGTGCATTCCGGTACTGAAAATGCCCTATTTCGTCGAAATTTGCATAGGCGAAATAACGTAAAATTTCACATTTTTCAAATTACAACAGCAAGTCTTTCCGATACAGAGGGGCGAGATTTTATTATTGAAAAATATAATAAGATATACACTATTCACCCCACAAGTTGAGTTGTTGGGAACAAAATTTTGCAAGTATGTGCATTCCGTTACTGAAAATGCCCTATTTCGTCGAAATTTGCATAGGCGAAATAACGTGAAATTTCACATTTTTCAAGCGAATGTAGTATGCCTATCCGATTAAGAGGGGCGACATTTTATTATCGAAGAATATAATAGTATATATGTGGAACATCATACAAGTTGAGTTGTTGGGAACAAAATTTTGCCTTCATATGTAATCAATCCGTTACTGAAAATATTATAAATACAACACATGTGGTATATTAATCGGAAAATTCGAGTTGTTGATAGGTACATTTTTTATTTATGTGTAAATCCTGATTGACAATGCCCTATTTTATCAAAAGTTGCTGACACCATGAAACGTTGAGTTCCACAATTTGAAAGAATTTTATACGTAATTGAAAACACGACTGAAAGTAGAACACGAGTTTCGATTTTGCAAAATCTCCGAACGAATGCAGGTGCGTACTTTTCTCAACCACCGACTTCATCCTTATTTCTTTCTAATAAACTAGGTCAGCAACACAGTAAAATGCGAAGTCGTCAAATACAGTAACATAGATTGTACTGCACGGTGATATGTTTTAGTGGTTAAAATTTCTATATCTAAATGCTTTTAAATTTCAATATTCGAAGTTTCTTAAAAAATTTTATGTCATGAAATTTTCTATCACGATTTTTGGTTGCGCGCTTAGTCCTGTGAGTTCAGTAATAGTAATCGCCGGTTTATTCAATTGCAATAGTTAGTAATTGTGGGTTAAAGTTGCACTCGCTTGACAATTTTTGGCCTCTCTTTCATTGTGTACCGCATTTTAGTTCTCGATAGTCTCGCCGACATGAATGACGGATGGCCTTTTATTCGGTTTGGTTAATAATTCATTGTATATTCGAATAATTTCAGTGAGAACATTCTGAGATATAATATATTAGTTTGTTAACAATATGGCAAAAAAAAATGCAGGCAGGCTTTCGAACAAAAGTTGTGCCATGGAGACGAGGGGCAAGCGGGAAGCTAACGGAATATTTATTTTCTGCTTGAACCATGTTCTCTTAGTTACGGACAGTAATGGTCGAAATTTAGTGAACCCACAGGTATGTAAAAAGAATTACTTTAATATTTTAAGTGTCTTTATGTAATATAACTAAATATACTTGGCTATTAAGCGTTATATTCATATATAAAATCTGGGTGTGACACATTGTTCGTTATACTGCGTCTAGTGTAGAACCACTAAAAAAAGTTAGAAATTATCGGGCATCGTCTCCAACTCAAAACAGATAACAGGGCATATCACGGCGACATCCCAGGCATATATGGTTTGTTTGATGAAGCTTATTTACGGTTAATCTTGATGAGAAGTTCGAAACGGCGTTTCGCAACTGCTTAGAAACTGCGAAAATTTGACTTAAAATGATTTGAAATTCGAATGTAATTTTAGATTCTTTTGGTTTGCGGATTTTTGTTCGGAATCGAAACTCGCCTCCTATAAAATACTGCCAAAAAAAACGAAAAACATCATTATATTTGTTTTATGAATGCCGTAGCTGGTGAAAAAAATTCATTTTTTATTTTATACTAGAATAAATTGTATTTTATGTTATTGCTGATATTCGGATTTTTTAACGGCGATATCTTAAAAATGATATAAAGTTGACGAATTAGCAAGCTGCGAATTAAAATTAATAATTCAATAGAGTCAAATTAATATGCAAATTCATTTTTAAAAGCTCTCATAGACCGTGGATTCAAAATTTTGCACAACAGTAAAATTATTATCCGCTTAGAAATTCGGTTCTTCTAACGATTCGCGTCATCTGCGCGACTGTTTCAGCAACCATTGCATGAACATTTAAAATTTTAACCCTTTTGAAGCTTTTGAAAATCTTGGCTTTGTTTCAGATAACTATAAGATATAATATTATTAAATATTTAATATTAGGTCGAATTAAAGATTATTGCAAAAATCTTAATTACTTTATTCTAAATGTTCAGGTTGTCAGAGTGCCAAAAAAATGCAAATTCGACCTATCCGTGGTGGCCATTCCCGGTGGTCGGATTTCGCATGGGCAAAAAGAGATCTTAGATGGTCGTCACTTTGAAAAGCTTGATTTTTTAATTTGTGCCTTGGGCAGCAACAATTTTTCCAACAATTGCCAAGAACACACCATCGACATTTTGGAAGAGTTGGAATCCTTTACAGCCGCTGTGCAAATTATTTATCCTCGTGTGAAGGTGATTTTTATATTTTTTTAATTTATGTGAATATCAAAACAGCTTGAGAACAAAATCTCGTTTATTCTTAATCAAAGTTCTCATACTATTATTTTCGGCTTCAAGAAATTTTACACCGTTTACGATCTTATGTTATTTGATTAAAATATTTATACAAAAAAAGCACATTTAACAGACGTAACGTCTTCGTATTTGAAACATTATATATATTTGCATGTTCATTATCCTCCAATTTGGGAGTGATTGAAAAAGCTTTAGCATGAAATTTAATAATTTTGTTATGATTGATTTTTTGCCAAAATATTGGCGCAGACTGGCAGGCATTATAACTGCGTGGGAATTGTGAATGCAGAAATTCAAAAATATGCAGAAAAGAAACAAACCCCCGTTCTCGATTTTCAGAATTTAAATTATAACACTGACAATTGGAGCAGGGACGATGTCCATTTGTCGGACAAAGGACTGTTGTTTTATACTAATATTTTGATACAGCAAATGGAGGAAATTATAAAAAAAGGTGAGTTTCTTTTAACGACTCAACTATGGGACGTGTAGTTATGGCGGCCGTAGAGCCTTCCCTTTGTCATTAAATTAATCTCTCTAGGCTCCAGTAATATATATTTTATCAACTCCACAAATCTGGTCATATCATATTCATAAAATCTAATTTTATTGATCTACTGTTAGTAAATATATCACTAATAACCAGGCTTGTCCATGGTCCAAACTACACCAAATATATCATCGGCCCACCAAGAAGTTCTAGATTTGATAAAAAAGGAATTAAAAAGGTATTTGAATATTTTATTATACATATTGGTTAAATAGTCAACGTAAACACAAGAAACATAAATTACAGAAGGCGAAGGCTAAAACAATCGCCATCATCACTACTTCGGACTCTTTTAAATTTCACACTGAACTTCAATGCTGCAGAAGCTCGAATTACTGACTTGACTCGAATTCAACCTGAATAACCATTTATCAATGATTTGAAGCAACTCGAGTCATCAAAATAAAAATTACTCGGCTTCGTACTAAATTAATTTAGTGATTGATTCGAAAGGAATTGATTCATTATTTCCCGGCGACTAAGTCTACGCGGTAAATAAGACGAGGCCCGTTTTTAAGCCTCACTGCGTATAACCTCCCAATAAAACGGGACAGCAAAATCGCATCAAAACCGGAATCTCAAATTACCATGCAACGGCTTCTGAGAAGTCGCTGCGTTTGCGAATTCATTGAAATAGTCCATAATGACGTTTTCTGTTTTCTTGTAGGGTAAGGTTCAATCTATGGCAGCCAAGGGAATTAAAATTATCTTTCAATTTTAATCTATTTGTGCTCAAGTTAACTTGCGATTGCGTCCAAAGACATTGCTGATCTAACAAAACCCGACAATCTGCGGACATAATAATGTGAAATAAACTGCTTGATTATATTTAGTTTTGATACATATTTTTGCGCTCTTGCGAATTTGTTATCGCCGTTATAAAAATCCCAAGATCTGGTATAAAATCCGAGAAAGTACAATTTAATTAAAGACAATGAATATACATATAAAGTGTATATATCAAACATACATCTTTATCACCTCGAATCTCCACGAAACGAAAGGTGTTGCTCCAGTAATTTAATTGTGATCAATTTAATCTGTGATTGCGACAATATTAATAGTAGCACTGCTCCAAAATGCCAACGCAATCCGTGGACATAAACATGTACGATTATATGTTGTTTTGATTCGTAATTTTGCAAAACAAAAATATATCTATATCTGTCACTTCTTCCGCTTCATCGCAATGCCGCCACTCATTATTTTGAGGAAGAAAAAACCTTTAAGTCAGCGATAATATAGCACAGAGTAAATTTATTTTAAAAAATGAATCAAATATACTTTACATCAATTATTATATATATATATATATATATATATATATATATTATAGTCGTACAAATATCATTGTCTGTAGTTGTAGAACACGAAATGTTTGCAATGTCTAAAAATCATTTATGATCTCTCACGGGCCATCCTAAAATAAATGGCGTTTTCCAAATTATATATTGTGGCTTTTCAATCAAGAGAATTTGGGTCACGTTTTCACTCTGTTATTTATCTTAGTATCTTGTCACACATGATTATGTAATAACTCGTATCTCACAAGTGCCATGGTTGTTTGAGAGCAATAAAGTAATTATCGTCGTCCAAAACATATCGAAGATAAATAAGGCACAACCGGTGTTTAGCAAAACGTTGGTTGTACTTTATTTATCTCCGAGTGAATATACTTGGTGGCAATCATGCGGTGCCAAAAACGTACGTTGAGAGAAATTTGTGATTTAGGGAGAATAAATGCTGACATGAAAGATGTTTACGGCTTAAATATACATCATGCTGACAAAAACAATTAACGATTTTCGCAAATTGCAATGCCACGTGTATCGGTAATAGCCCTTCACTCGTGATTCACACGCCACAAATGCGGCAACTTCAAATATGATAATCACAGCGTAGAAATTCCAGATTCACAGCGCGAGATCGCCGATTTATTTAATCTGACTTGATCGGAACGTTTTGGGGATGCTTTGACCCAAGGTATTTTATGGTCGGAATTGAATAATAAGCCGACCCCGAAAAAACGAAAATTAATATACCTGCCCAATAAGACGCAATTTGCAAATTTTAGATCCGTCAAAAATATTCTGCAACCCATCGCCATATCTACAGCAGTCAGTTATTTTATCGTTAATCCGTCAGCTGTCGTGCGACCTACATCACGATACACTATTAAAGTTCAGGTAAGTTCTTAAAATTCAACAGAATCACGCATCAGGCAATAGGACACTTTTAAAAAATAGACTTTTTCGTCGGCATGCAGAAGTTATTTAAGATCGATAAGTAATAATTGGGAGATAATGCGAAAATCTCAACAATTTGTTGTTACACCACACTCCAACTGCTACGGCAAATAATATTTTAAATATATTCGTTTAAAAATATGCCAGGTATTCGAATGTGATCACTTTTTCACGGCCGATTCGCTGTAACTAGTATGAGCCATACGTCATAATAAACGGCGTGGTTCAAATTTATGATTTTGTAATTTAGAGAAAAAGGGAGTATCAATCGCACTGTTCATTTGAAAATAGCAAAGTCTTTTTAAATTTGGCGCCGAGGAGTTAGGTGTGCATAACCGTTTAAAAAGCTCGTTCATACAAATCATCTATATCTAGTTTTGAATCTGCTAATACCCACAGCCTTTTTGAAGGCTAATTCAACCGGCAGCTTTTTCAAAGCTAAACAAACTTTGTTCTCAAGAGAACTCAATTTACTGTCAAGAGAGAAGTAATGGACTACGAAGCTCATGACAATGAAGTTGGGACGCATGCCAGCGAATGTAGCGGACCACAATGTGTCTACCGGGATGAACAAGGTGAGAATACCGCAAATTTAAAACTTCTTTGCCTATTTTTCCAAATGTTATATCCATCAAATTGTTTCAAATTTATTTGTGCTGCTTGCTGTGGGCTCGATTGTATAAAGCTATTGGGTATTTGATTCGAAATCGCCCATGCTTAGTAGTGATTTGCCGCTTTTATGTTAACCATCATCCATAATTTATACTCTGAAAGACGTTTGGAAGACAGTAATTCAACGATGTTTGGTTGTACAAGGTTAATTAAGTAAGCGCGATTTTACTTTTAAACTCGAGGGCGTTTGACGTCGCCGCGAATTGCAAAATCGCGCTACCCCGGTAGTCTACAGGGGTGTTTAAATACATGTTTACATTTTAAGAGCCTCTTCATAGGTTGTTCCTTTATTACCAATGCGCCGTGACTATGGATAGCAAATTTAGAATAATTCACTATTCTAGAATGGTTAAATCAAATCCAGAATACCGAATCCTATTTTATTTCCTTCTTTTTCAAATAGTGGAAATATTCCACATTGCTGGATTAAGATGTTAAAAAATTGTAAATGTATTACTATAAATGCATTATTTATTTGGAAATATCCTTAACATTGTATTTCATTTGATACTAAACAAGCATTTCCCAGGACAATAAAATCTAAGAATATTACAAGTACAACATTTTTTGCCTTCAATTGTTCCAAATGTATGTAATCTCTAAATACTGATATTCTACATTGAGACGCGCTTTGCACACTTTGACCACATTTGCTTCATTATTTGTGGCCCGCATCACATTCGGAGAGTAATCAAAATATCGCATTTCGTGTTGTTTCGTCATAAAATTAATCAGAAAAATCTTTTGACGTATTGTCATCAATATTGTCACTGAATTAAGTAGTGTTATGGATAGCTGGGGAAACTAGCGAAGTTGAATGATATGCTTGGCGGTCTAAATTATATGCAAACAATATAGGCATCATAGAAAACTAAAAATCGAATGCAGATTCTATTAGCCTAGAATGGCTATGCCTGATAACTATGTGTTTGCACAATAAAGGTGTTTGTTTTGTATTGCACTGTTTACCTATTCTTGGCACTATTGGGGCCCGTGAACAATGCAAAAATAATTTTGTGGCCCGCGGAGCCGACAACTTTGGACCACCCTGGTCTAGTGTACTAACACACATGCGGTGTATTCCACCATATCCAAAAATACCCTTCTATTAGAAGAGCCAGCCCGTTCATCGTGCCCACGGAGGGACAGCTCGTGACAACCAATGAACTTCAAAACATCTATCAATCGACCGAGAACATGGCGGTTTTTCTCGACGTTTTGGTTGTGCCGACGAATAGAAACCGCGCGTCCTTCATCCAACTGTGCTGCAATATTAACATTTCCGAATGTTCGGTATTTTACTGCATTGTCCAGATGCTCCATAGAAGATTGATGATCCCTGGCACGCTCGGAAAGATGTTTAAGATCTCTAAAACCAAATTTACCCCAACGTGAGTCACGGGCGGTAGCAAAAAGTAGGCAATAAAAACAAAAAAGTGCACTTTTGTCCTCGCTGTAACACAACCATTCGTGTTTTTTATACCAAGTTTCTGCGCAGAATTTACGCCGACGCTGATTGTTCCAGTGAACAATTTTTTGGTTGATAAGGCCCAAGACGTTGTACCTCTAATTTTTGTTCCAGCGGTAGCTGCGAAAACGGAGTGCGAAGTAGTGCATCAACCTTATTCATTATGAGGTCTAAGGCTAAGAAATGCGAAGCCGGAAAGAAGTGAGAAGCTCAAAAGGAATGTGGAAAATCGAAAGCAAATGGACTAAAGGTCTCTAACTGATTCAAATAGCGAAACAAGCGACAAAAACGAAGGCGAGGAAACTATCAACTCTTCAAGCAACCAGCGAACGAGAAGGAATGCGTGAATATGTCAACACGTTGTTGTAAGAAACGTCGGCATTGTGTCGTCATAATTTCGGGGCTAGCCCCGATGATTTAGTAAAAGAAACAGAAAACAAACGAGACAAACGCGGCGAGTGGAAGATAAAAGAGAGAATACGATATACAATGAGCAACCGGGGCAAAATCGGCGTCGCCCCGTCGACGTTCGGCGAAGGCGTTGCGAGCGAAAAAT